CATATTTTTGAAATAACATGTTTAATGTATGCCTAAAAGACTCTGATGAACTATTTCAATATATTGCTTTTAAAAATTAAGATCAAGTCAGGCTAAGCCTTAAAACAGATGCGGTCTTTACTCCTAATAATAAGTATTTCAAACATAATGCAAATAATCACTCAAAAAGTGATGAAATTCTGAGTAGTCTTTTTAATTGTACTGTATATTCTTCCTGATATTTCATGCTTCAAATGTTCCTCTATAGGACTAGACAAATATGAGATTGTATGGATGGTAGATGGAGTTCAATATTCCAGGACACTAAAGCAGTGTCCCTGTTTTCTTTTTGTGAGCTTGACACCAACAATTAGCAACTGAATTTGCCAGAGCTCTGATCTGATTATGTGTTGAAGCTGGGATCTTGCTTGGGTTGTCAGTGTTTTACTGAACAGGAGGTGGATGAGGCTGTGCAAGGCAGAGAAATACAGAAGTTTGTAAACAGGAATTTGTGTGCTGGGGTAGTAACTGAGTAAGTGGAAACCCCACTGCCATGGGCCGAACTGCCTTTCCTAAGAGAAAGGTATTAACATTGAAATGAGAGTAAATACCCACCAAATGCTTCTTGATCTGCAGAACTAATGTCCCAGGTTGGACTTGGCTCCCAGCCAAGTGCCTGGACCCCGGGGACAAAACCTTCCCCCTCCCTTTCACATTCTCCCAGCCGACCGAAAAAAAACCAAAAGAACCCAAACCGAATAAATTTCAAATTTATATATATATATAAAGAAAACTATATACACACTACCAACAAAAGGGAACTCCCCAAAAGGGAAAGGGAAGGGAAAGGGAAAAGGGAAAAAAGGACAAAAAGGGATACAAAAGGGACAAAAAGGGACAAAAAGTTAAATACTCCCCTCGAGAGGAAGTGAGCCACACCACACAGCTACCACAGCACTGTCCGCCTCTCAAGGCCAACCAGACACGCCAGGCCTCACTCCCTCACCCGGGCAGAGCGATAGTAGAGTTACCTCCACCTTGGGTCCACCGGAAGAAAGAGCGAGAGCTTCCTCTCTCTCCTTATTTATACTCTTGCTTACGTAAAATCATATGAAATACTGGGAACATGACCTTGGTTCCTTGGTTACAACCTGATCACCAAGGAAGGCCTAGATTCAAAACCACTACAACTAAAAACTTTGCTGAGTCTCAACGCAAAAGTTACATCAGAATTTAAAACAATGCTGCACTGGAGACCAGTTGTAGCTCATTTAACTGAGATAAGAGAGCAGAAGTATTACAGCCCCTGCTTGTTTCTAGCTCAGCAGTCTGGCATGAGAGGGCTCTGGAGAAGAGCCTTGCAGGCCCCTGGCACTGCCCTTTGCCATGGGGCTGTGGCTGCCCACTGGTGGAGCCAGTTTGCCCGAGGTTCTGTGTGATTATTTACATTGCACACAGCCGGGCACTGTGGACGCAAGTGACAGACGCTCTTCTCTGCCCCCTTTTTCCCTGACAGCTGTAAAGTTTTGATCAGTGGGAGCTGAGGTTCTCCACGCCTTGCTGGACACTTGCAGTTCTTGACAAGACTAAGCTGTAACAGCCACACAGCTTATTCTCACGTATGAGATACTCAATCTGTTCAGCACAACTCAAGTACTGGAAATCAGTACAAGAGGAAATATTCCTACTGATTTCAATGAGGATAGTGGTATGGTTTTTTTTCCTTGGATCAGTTGCACACTTCAGATACTTGATCTGCCATGCGGTCAATGCATATAAATTAAATCAAAGGTTCTTGCACTGAAGAACATAGCATGGATATTGGTCTCTGCTTATACTACAGTGTTATTTATTTATGTTACAGATTGAAAAGATACATAATCCTCTTCTCTCTGATGCATTCCAACAAATGAAAAAAAGAATAGAAGAAAGACAAGGTATCTCCAAAATAACCCACAAGCTGTACCAGAACGTTCCTGCTGAGTTCTGTAGTTCAGTTTGCCAGACTGGATTTCACAGGATGTATTCTCCACCAACAGGTAAGAACTTGCTTTGGCATCTTTAATCAAAATGAACAGTGACTGACTACTAAATTCGGGTTAAAATCTGAAAAAAAATATTATTCCTAAACAATAATTGTTTCTCATGTGCATTTAGATTGGTATGAGCTTACTTTATTATCTAGAGTAAGGTTTCCCTCCCTGATACTGTAAAGCCAGTAAGGCTCTGGGACAACAAGCCTGGATTCAATCAAGCCTGCCCCAAACACTACTGACAGAATTGTTACTTTATACATAATTCCACTTCCAAGTTTTATTATTTTGCATCACTCTTTAAAGAAAGTCAAGGTCCTTATTTACCTGCTGCAAACATGCACTCAGCAGCTTGTTGCTTAAAACATGTTCAAAGTCATCACAGAATACTGAGGCTGAAGGTACTTGGGAAGGCTGTCTAGCCCAGCCCCGTGCTCAGATCAGGTGTGGTCAGAGACAGCACATAATCTGACTGCTCAGCTGCCATTCAGATGGCAGCACGCTCGGAAGAAATTGTGGTCTCTACGAAATATTGTAGTAGACAGATGTTTTCAGAAAGGGAAAGAATAAGCTTTTAGTGCTTCATCCTGCAATAGGTGAAGGGTGTTATATTTTGCTTGTCGACTGCAGAATTGGGATTTCAGGCAGTAAACCGTTCAAAGTGGAGATTTGACTTTCTTTGTCTATGCAATGTACATGGCACATTTCCACACTTTGAGAGCAGTAAATAGGATGATGGTCTAATATCCTTGCACTTTTCCACATGAAACTGTAACAGCACTTTTATGTGACACTCTTGTTATAAATATCAAAGCTTTTTTTTGTCGGTTGCATTATTAAAATCTTGCTGCCTTTGGTGCTTGTCAGATCCGGGATAATTGAAGTGGCAATCATATATTTATATAAATACTTTAGACCTTGATGTTTCAATCACTGTATTAACAGTTACATCTGAATGGTTATCACTGAAGTAGCAGTTAATCAAACATCCTTCCAAAAAGATGGCACATATTGAGCAGTAACTTCATGTGTAATCCTGAATCAAGCAGCAGCCTCTTGGAACTACCACCCCAAAAGAACCAGTTGTTGAACACTTTGTCTTCTTCTGAAAATTTTTTTCTTTTTCCAGAACAAAATTATGGACCTGGCATCTACTTTAAAAGGAACCCAAGAAACCTTATCGAGGATAAAGCTATGGGGGAAATGGACTCTAAAGTGTACGTGTTTGAGGCTGAAGTATTAACAGGCTTATACACTAAAGGCGAGTCTAATATTATTATGCCTCTGGCTGTGAAGGGGGATGCCTTTAGGATATATGACAGCTTGGTAAACGATATGGCCAATCCTGACACCTTTGTCATTTACAACAGTGTTGGGGCCCTTCCACAATATCTGCTGACTTGTTCCCCGATGTCTAAGCATTATGCAGCTGAAAACAGCAGCATCCTGAGTGAGAATTACTCAGAACTGCAGCTGTTTTGAAGATCCCCTCAGAACAAAGTAAAGTGCTTAGATTTAAGAGAATGCTCTACTTAGTAATGTGCTGTGGTAAAAGTGCCTCATACAAAATACTCCAAAATATCCATGAACAAAAGAGTAAGGCAATACCTTAAGGAGATTAGGACAAAATTGTCTGTGAGTGGAAACAGAAGGCAGAGCATCCCAAAATACAGTTTAACATTTAGATGGTCATTTACTTTTTACCTTTCAGTGTTCTGAGCAGGGGACTATACACGTGATGCTTGCATAGGTTGTCATTTTTCTATTGCATTTTCTTAATCTGAGATGTTGCATATGTCAGTGAAACAAAAAGTCTTGGTTGTGCCTTTGATTCCTAAATTTTCTTTTGACTTAAATAGGTGAATGTAGCAGATAAAAGCTGTTTCCTAGTTAGAGATAAGCTATTAAATACACGTAGTTGTGACAAACATGAGACAATACTGCACGATATCCAACAGTAGTTGCTGTAATAGGTTTTATTAGTTATTGCAAGCATTGTAGATGCATGTATTCAAAATTAAAAGTATGAATGTCACTATCAGTTAACTTGTATTTTTTCATATGGTCTTAAGAATGTGATTTGGACTGTATTTGAGCTTCAGATTTCTCAGCAATGTTTGGATAATTTCAAATCTCTTTGAAAGGCTACAAAATAGTAAAGAACTGGTTCAAAGTACAGCTTGAAAATGATCTCCAATAATCTACCTTTACCAATATCTTTTAAAGATTACACTGTCAGCCTTGTAGCCAGGTATGCCCACATTGCTTCTGCAGTAACCTGAAGCCAGCACATGGAAAAGCCCAAGAGCCATTATAGGAATTCCACTGTCAAAGGGGATTCAGTCCAGCGCTCAGGTACTTGGAAACTTTCTCTACTGAAGTCTAAAACTATGCCTGATGTTAACAGCGTTTAAAACAGATGTGTTACCCCAAATAAAAAGCTACTACCAGATTTGTCTGAACTGTCCCACCAGTTCTGGGCCTAAAACACCAAAACAGGTTAAAGCAGTGCTGTAATACAGAAATAAACGCTCCTCTTCAGTACCTCACCTGTCAGTATCAGGTCAGCCTCTCACCTGACGTCACCTGTAGTCAAAACTGTCACTACCTGGGGAGGAGAGGGGCTCACATAAAACCATTCAAAAACAACAGTGTTGTCGTATGAAAAGCATTTCACCCACAGGCAAAGCACTGTGCTAATGGAGAGCATCTGATCTCTAAAACACAGATGAAAGTAGCATTTAATACAACTATTCAAAATAATTTGTTAATGAATTCCCAAGGTACTTGTATTGCACCTGCAACTCCTAAGCTAGTATTCATAGAGCTAGGAACCACTCACAAGTCCAGAAGAAATTAAGTTATAAAAGTCTAATTCTGAACTTTTAAGTGAGGTTGCAAGTGGAAATTTTTTTAAACCATTACAAAAGAAACTTTTAAATTAATATATTCATATATTGGTTAGTTTTTTTTTTTCTGAGTTTAAAGATTAGTTATACCTATTTTTGAAAAGGTATTTTCATAGTGTGTGAGCCTCTAACAGACATGAATTTTGTTCTCAGGAAATCCCAAGGTTGCTCTTAAGAGTCTATTCCTATTTTAACTATTTCATTTAATCAATAAATTCTTTTCTACTTCTGTTCCCTTTTTCCTCATGTTTCTCAATTCACACATTACTGCCATGAAAACACAGAGCTGTAGATTTAAGGTTAGACAGCGCTGAACAAGGATAAGCTCTTATTTCAGTTTGGTTCAAGAGATTTCATTTTTTAAAGCAATTTCATGGCAGGAATTCTTCTTTCTTTTTTGAAAAAACTCAGTACAGAGTTTCTGAACTACTGCAACAATTTCTAACAATTTCTAAGTTTTCAGAAAACCTAAAGGATTTTTTGGCACAATGTAACATCTTTCTCCTACTTGGAATAAAAAAAAAAACAGTTTTCGTAACTCAGTGTTACTTTAATACTGTTACACAAGTATTGGTAACAATGTGTTTCATTAATAACCTTTTTATTAACTCTGTAACTCTTAACTGCACCTGAAAAGGTTTGTAGTCAGTTTAATAGAAAAAAAATAATTATTGAGAAAGCTTTAACAGTTTATTCCAATGCCCAGCACATGCTTTCTCCTCCCTCCACATACACCTGAAGTTTATAAGGATTCGGTGTAACTGAATATTTATCTTCCATTTTATTATAGCGAGATTTTTCCTAGTGTATAATTTCTACTTAAGTTCACCAGTGTTCTCCACACTTAGTGATATAATATACATTCTATATATATAGTTTTTTAAAAACTGCTAATGTTGCATATAATTATTTTCATCTGGTCCTCAAAAAGAATAATTTCATATACAGAAACTAGAAAATAAACCCAGCACAAACTAGATGTACCAAGTAGTACATATTAAAATAATTACCACAGTAATTGAAAATTCCTGATCTTAGTCCTACAATAATCAGTTAACTAGAGGCTACTCCACAGCCTCTGGGATTTCTCTGTTGTTCACAATAAGGGTATGAATAATTCCCTCCTTTCGTTTCCCACTACTGACAGCCTTAATGCAACAGCTGTGATCAGCAACAGTGAAGTGAGTTTCAGTCCCATCTTCGACAAATTCACCCTGGGAGGAAGAGACAAGAATAAAAAGAGACACGTGATATTTTAGCAAATGAAAAAGCTTGAGTGTGTCAGTGTCAAGATCACTTGTAGTTTCCACATTACAGCAGCCATAGGTACCTGCAACAAATACAGCCCCAAAACTTAACAAAGCTCCAGAATTTCAGGCAGGGCTTTGTCAGTGTGTCCAGTTAAAGATTTGTGGGCATCAGATGACAATCAAAATGGTAAAGTTGGAGTTTGTGAGTTCATATTACTGATCCATGTTAGTAAACAAAAATAGAAAAAGCATCTTGCTGCCCAGTTGTGCTGTACAGCTAGTAAGTGCCACACAAACTTATACTGAAGTGGCAGTAAAAGGTGAAGTATTTAGGATGCCTTCTACAGCAGAATGCAGAAAGAGGTCCCTGGATTGAGTACCAGTTGTGTATTTTGAATTGTGTGTTTTGGGCTCCTGCTGCAGTTACATAATATCCTATTACAGATTTTGCCATGCACAGCTGTGTCATCTTTGGGAGAGCAGAACAATCCGTGTGCCGCTCTAATGGAAGCACAGTTTGACAACTAAACCTGCACATGCAGCTTGCAAGAATATCTTCTAGAGCATTTATTACATTATAGAAAAGGCTGAGAGCTATCAGGAGCAGAAAATCTGATTTACTGGAAAGGGGGTTTCTTCCACGCACTTCTATAGAAACGGAGCTCTGACCAAACTGGTCTAGTGGAAAGTGTCCCTGTGATGGCAGGGGGGTTATAACGAGATGATATTTAAGGTTCCCTCCAACCCAGGCTGTCCCATGATTTGGTGAATTTTCATCCTACTCTCAGGTATAGCACCACTGTTGATTTTACAATTTGTGCTCATCCAAGGGCTTTCTTGTGGCAGTAGTAACCACTTTGACACATCCTTCAAGGAGGGGGAAGCCTAGCTTGTATGCGTATTGACAGCCATCATAATACAAAAAAAACACCAAACAGATTAAGCTTTCTACCTGCCAGCCTGCTCTAAAAACTAATGCAGATGTGACAGAAAGACAAGCATATTTTGCTAAGCTTTGGGTATGTAGCCATAGGCTGGGAAGAGCCTTTGGAAGGGATCACGTACCGCTGTTTCCATTTTTTCACCATTGCACCACACATCCATAGTGTCCTTTTCTGTGAAGGAAAAGGAAAACAGAAAGTAGAAAGAACAAGGTGTTTTTCCCCCCTATAGACAAGGATCTAGGAATTTTAAAAATCCGTTGAATTTTACTTTCAATTCCCAAAAGAAGTTTCTAATTAGCCAAAGTCCCTGAGCTACAGAATTTGCTCTCATAGCAGGATGGGGAGGCTCTCAACAATGAGCAAACAACTTTAGCTTTGAACATACATTTTTACCTCTCCCTAGCCCTGGCTATTGACTCTGGGTTGCTCAGAATATTGCCAGAAATATCCTGACAGTCTTAAACTGAAAAACTTGAAGACAGAAAAATGAAATAATTTCTGCTAATTATCTGAGTGCCATTTATTCAGTGAAGCTCTAATATTTTTTCCAGGTTGGTTTAATTCAAAAGCAGCATTATTTAACATCCATCGAACTGTTTGTATTCTTCAAAATCTCTCAAAACCCAAGTACCACTGTAAATATCAATCTTAGATTTTTTTCCATTTGAAACAGAATATTCTTTTACTTCTTCCAGCACATTCTTCTTAAATTATTTTGCTCTAGAATTCACATTACTGACACTGTCATCCACAGGTCATCAGCAGAGAGCTGATCCCTGCTTGCCTTTCCAGTAAGCATAGAGAGATTAAAATCCTGTGAGGAGACTTATCTGTTTCTGCCATAAAAGTTGCTTTTCTTCACTGCCCCCCTTCATCTTAGGGCAGTTCGTTATGTCCTGAGGCTTTATAAAAATCATAGTCCAAGATCTCTTGTTTCCAGATCTAACCATACAGCAATACCTAAGTGGAACTTTTCCCACTAGATGCCATGGACAAATTCCTCAGGGGGTCCCTGCCTCCTGGCTGCTTGTTATGTGTCTAAGCGGGGGGCAGAAGAGATGTATTGCCTGCTTATTAAAATAGTGAAACAATATAATATAAAAGTTTTTAGATTAAATTTGTAGTTAAGAAGTGAGGCAGAAAAAAGGATGCTCATTAATCTATCAAACAAGTAGAAACTGTCACACTTCCTCAGATAGACTTTGGCTGATGATTGTTGGAGGGAAAGCCTGGGCACCTGCAGAACAAACACTGGGTTTGATCACAACACAGATAACACTTCTATAAGAGGCTTCACCTGCAGAACTGTCTTGCTAGAGCAGCTCTATGGATGCAGCAGCCATAATGCCTCCAAACCTTTTTTTTTCTTTTCTTTGTTTTTAAATCTAGACCACAGTGCTGTAGGTTCACGTGTGTGTAACAAGACCATTGTTTTTCAGATTGTCTTTGGCATCTCATTCCAAACTTCCAGACCACTCAAGATTTTATACTGCACCAGTGCTACCCACTGAACTGCACTTTCTCTTAATTACCAGTTATTAAATGCACACAAGTATTTTCAAAGGCAGCAACATGGAGTCATTCAGTGTTTACTTACCTAGAACAATTCTATAGTCCGTACCATCCAAGTTCAATATCCAAGTATTGGTTGTTTTTAACCTGTTTTCCATATATTTCTTCAGACTCTTTCCATTGATCTCCAAAGTATATTCATATGCAAAGCCACTGACTGCATCTATGTTAATAGCAGCTTTTGTTTTAGTAGCTCCAACAGTGAATGTTTCTTTACCCACTAATTTAAACATCCAGTCTTTTCTTATTTCTTCCTGTAGAATAAAACAAAGACAGTGGGTATTAATTGAGAGATCTGAGTGCATGTTTTAATGTTAAAAATACTGAATTGAAACTCAGGAGACAGCTCAGTACTGAACTGTTATTTGGGAATGAATGCATACACGGTGGTTTGTATGCACAGAGTGCCTCTGTCCAAAGACAGCAAAGCACTTCATGAATACTCACACCTTAACTGGAACTGAAAAAAAGAACGATGCAGTTCAGTAAATCAGGTAAAGTTAATCAACTGAATGTACCTCACTTGCATTTATTAGTCTTTTGTTTGCTCTGATGCATGTTGCATGGAAGTGCACTTATATAATCTGTATCACAGTGAATTTTGAGCACATAGCAATTTCACCTTTCCATCAACATAGACAACACGTTTTCCTGAAGTGGTCCCATGTTCAAATTCAATCTTATGAACACCATCACTTAAAGCTACTTCCCAAACAGCCACCAAATCTGTCATCTTCTCTAAGTGGCTGTACCGAGACCTAAGGAAAAACCAACAAAGTAAATTAATTGTTGTTGAAAGTTCAATTCCTGATGTCTGCAGTTCAAAGCTTTACTGGGTCAGGGCAAGTTGTTTTTTGCAAATGAAAAATGAGACTTGAAAGAGTAACCTTACAGAACTGCTCATATTTTCATGTTTTTTCAAATATTCAGATATGACAAAATATCACAAAATATAAACCGACAGTTAAACAGACTCACTTTGACAAACACAGTACAAAGACACAGATATCCATCTAACCTCTAAAAGCCTTTAAATCTACAATTTCAGGTGACATTAGGTTACAAAATACACTTAGCATTCAGATGCTCCTGGACAGTTCTGCTATTTCCTGGTAGGCATTAAAATACAGTATTTGATTGGTCTCAAAGAAAGTGTTTCAGCCTTTTAGACTCAAAAAATAGGATGGCCAGTTTAGCTGTTTTAACAGATTTGTCTGCAATCTCATAAATATTACCTACATCATGCAGAAACGCACACACAAACACTCACAGGGGAAGAGATCTGGCAAGATATCCTTTTATTTAAGCAATTTTTAAAGTTTAGATACAATCATAAGTGACCACTGGAACTGTGGATATCTTTCCAAATCTGCTCATACCACGGTCCTGATTTTTTACCTTACTTCATCTTCACAGACAGTAATCTCCTCCCCGGACGCCATAGTAACACAAACAGCTTTTAATCCAATTAGCAGCAAGAAAAAATAGAAAAGTAGAATAGCAGCAGAGAAGTGCTGAGGTCTAAGTTTTCCTGGTTTTCTCCATTTAAGATAAAGGACATTTTTTAAAGCGTTATAACCTAGCATGCAGTGCTAGCTGTAGTATATATGATGAAAACAAAAACATTTAAAATAAAACCATCTCTCCTCTTAAACAGAAAATAAAAAAATTTGGAATTGTATTGTATTTTGGAAAAAATATAATATTTTTCAATTTAGTAAGTGCAGTTTATTGTAACTTTATTAGCTCATCATAACTTTGTCGATTATTTGATGGAAAAGTGGGCTGCCCAGCTTGTGACCGAAAGCTTAGAAACTAAAAGCAGGAACCCGATCAGAGCTGCCCCTCTCAGTCCCAGACCGTAATGATCTTGGGACTGCAAAATAGCACAGCCAACAATTTCACCTACTCGCTACAAAGAACTCGTTTCTTACTTAAGAGCAATAGACCATGATGGTGTTTTACAACCACTGACTGATTTTTAATGTATTATTTCCATTAATTAATTTGCTAAGGGCTGCCTGCCCTACCTGTGCATATTAATAAGCATAACTTAAATGTAAACAAATAGTAACACGTGCTAATAACTGCCGAGGAGACTTTTGGCTGTTCCTGAAGTTACAGGTGGCTGTGAAGTTTGGCATTCCCTAGCACACGGTGGGAGTCAGGCGGGGTATATTTCCCTCTCCTCAAGGGAGCGGGGGCTCGGGATAGACCCGCGCTTGGCCCTGGCATTGGATCTGCACAAGGAGCGGCCTCGGGCACAAAGGAGATGCCAGGAGGGGTGGCAGCTGGAGGGTGTCCCCAGGCCACCCTTCACCATCCCCGGCAGGACGCAATCCTCCCGCGTGGATCCTGGAGATTATTTAGGATCAGTGCTGAATGGGTTAGGAAGCATCCTAGAACACACAAATTCCCATTTTTCTTTTTAGCAAATCATGGTGATGAGGTAACAGACTTCTATTTTAAAACAGAGCTGAACCCAGACTCTAGGGCACCCGCGTGTTTCCTGAAAGCCTGCCGGTACCACCCGAGTCCCAGGGGAAAGCCTGGAGGGACCTGCTCGCTTCTAAGAGCCACCCGCTGGCTCCAATCCAGGGAAGCACATCTGTCCTGCACCGACCGCCTCGTTCCACTGCGTTTTCTGCTAACCAAGGCAGCGGCCCAAAACGAGACTTTACACATGAGGGCTGGCTCTGAAAACCAGGCTGGGATTACCGCTCCCCGCCCACCTAATGCCGGCAGCGCTCATCGTGGTGCGGTGTAACGGGAAGCGCATGAGCTCCAGGGCAGCAAGTCTCCCCCACCCACCGTTGCCGCCGGCAGCGAGCTTTTTTTGTGTGTATGTGTGTGTGTGTGTGAAGAAAATCCCCACGTCCCTGCAAGGCGGCTCACCCCGCGGCCCCGAGGGCGGCGGCCCCGCTCCTACCTCCGCCGGGTCTCCTCCCCTCGGCTCCCGCGCCGCAAGATGGCGGCTCCCGCCCGGCACCGCCCCGCGCCCGCGCGCCCGCCCGCTCCCTCAGCCCCCCTCCCGCCCGAGCCGCTCCGCGCCCGGGGAACCGGCCCCTCTTCTGCCCCGCGGCCCGGCCGGCGGCCCTCGCCATGGCAGAGGTACCGTGGCGGCCCCCGGGTGTCGCTGCTGGGTGGTTGGAGCAGGACAAAGGGCGATCCAACAGACCGTAACCCCCGGAGCCGCCGCCGCGTTTCTGGGGGCTCCGCTCGCGGCGGGGCCGCTGCGCCCCGGGGGCGTTGGAGGGAGCCGAGGGCCGGTGGTCTGGGCTTCTTAGAAAGGCGAATTTCGCTCGTTGCACGTATTTTTCCTTCTGACTGAGATCGGGAAAACTGAGCATGCTGTATGTTAAGTACGCTTTTCCCCGAGTGTATTTTGCAGATCCTATTGGAGCGTCTCTCAAGCCCTCCTGGAGTGGGTGTTCTTGGGGGGGTTGGGGTTGGTTTGGTTTAATTTTGGGGGCATTTGGTACCCCACAACGCCTGCACAGCTGATCTGCAGAACTCAGGTTTCTGCCTCTTCTTCCCCTTCTCCCAGCTGCAGCAGGAGAAGGCAGAGTGGGAAAACTTAAACAAGCTATTAATGCGTCATGGGTTGAAACCGGTGAGTCTTGCTGCACCCCAATGCTGCAGAAATAAGACAGGTAAGGAAATGCTAATTTAACTACTTTTTGTATTTGGAAGTAGTAAGCCTAAGTTCGTAAGGCATCTCTAAAACTGTCACTTCCAAATGGCAGCAGACATGCAACCTTCTCCACCTGTTGAAAGCCTTTCATTGTGACTTTGTTCATGTTTTGTATCTCCAGATATGATTGTCCTAGACAGTCAGTCTTCTCTAGAAATAAGACTTGCATTAAAAACGCTGGTAGAAGACATCGAGCGACAGCAGAAGTTGATGCAGGGACTTATGGAGACGAATCGGTCTCTTAGGTAAGACACAGTGGAAGGAGCTTACCTGCTAATGCAAAGTGAAAGTATTATGAGTGTGCATCTTCTGCCCAGTGGAGATCTTGTCTCATCAGACGCCCAAGATCCTTTTCCTGATATTATTGCCCAATGTGCAGCAATATTGGCCTACTTCCTTTTGAGCTCTTCCGTTATTTCATCTGCTGCTTCTTCCCATACCAGCATATTTCCCATACCTGCTGCCACAGGATCAAATGTCATCACGTGATGTCAGGTGTGTGCTTCCTGCATTGTGTTTAGTGAAATGAGTGTAATTTAAATGAAGGATTTTTTTTTTCCAGAGATGTGGTACGACAGGAACAAAGTCGGGCATCTCGGCAAGAGCAACGGGCTAATGATTTGGAAAATGTGGTGAAAAACATTAAGGCCAAAATTCGTCAGCTGGAAGATGAAACGATAGCTAAAGCTTGCCAGCAACAGAACCAAGTCAGAGAACTTCAAAAAGACCAGCAGGCTTCCCAGGTAGTTTGGAGAGTGCTGCCTTAGGATTCAAATGTTTGTCTTTTTTTAAAAGATCTAAAAATATTTACATTGATAAAAATAAACATGAGTCTTGGGTCATAGAGTTAGTACACTGTCTAGAGTGAAGATTTTTTGAGCCATGCAGAATTTTATAGCAATAACTTAGAAAAATATCTGTGTCCTTCCACTGTCTCTTCATTAAGGCTAAAACCCAAGGACTAATCGTCCTTGGGACCAAGTGTGTACCTGACAGAACAGTCAGCTGGGAGGCCAGAACAGTTTAATAATGCTCCCATTACCTGTTCACAGGTAAAATACCAACAGCAGCAGGAAAAGCTGCAAGAACAGGAAGAGATTATTGCCCGTTTGCAGAAGGAGCTGAGCAAGGTTGGAATGGAGGAGCAGCACCGCATTGCCACTCAAAACAAAATGTTTCGTCAGTTTTGCAAAAGAGCTCCCAAGTCTCTTCTAGATCAGAAGTAAGTGATCTTAAGCTGGTGAATGACCTGTAATGCTGAATGAAGAAACAGATTTTAAAGCAATGCTTCTTGAAATTTATATGGAAAAAAAAAAAAGCTAGAGATCTTAGGAGTGCAACCTGAAATATGGATTCTTTTAAAGGTATAGCAGTACAGTGATATTTTTCTTTTGTAAAATTGTGAGACAGATAAATCCATGGCAGAAATTAAAAAATTACCAGCCACTGCCTACACTAGGTGTCAGCAAAGGGAAGGGAATGATTCACTCTTTTCTGGAACTGCAGTGTCTGCTAGGATGATCTCATCCTGGGATTCTAACATTTAAAAATGTAAATTAAAAAAAATGACAAAAAAAACCCCAAGAGACATGATCCCAACCCCCCTCCCACCCTTCCCCAAAAAGAGCCCTTCCAGTTTTGACAAGGGATCTTAGCAACTGCTGAGTGGAGGCTTACTGTGAGGCTGCAAAGTACTTTAGAATAAGTTCTGAAAGTATCCCAACCCAGTAGGATTTCCGTAGCTCTGCTATATTCAGAGTTTTGCCAGTTCTTAGACCTTAGGTAGCCACTGCTTTACCCTGCTGATGTCCCCTGCTTTCTGGGCCTGGCCACACCTGGGAAACTTCTAAAAGGGATTGTGTGGGCACAACCTTGTCCTCATGCCCTTGCGGTAAGAGAGGAGGAATCACTGAATTTGGTTCCCTGTGCTCTCTCATGTGTCTCTCCAAAACACAATCTCAGAGTGCTCAAGCCACTGTATTTTGACTGTGCCCCTCTGTTAAGCTTGCTGGGTAAGTCATAAGATGAGGAGGCTGTTGGGCAGATTTAGGCCTTTTCCTCCTCTTGAATGACTTTGCCAGTTCTAGACTAGTACAGAGTTAATGTCTCTACTTTTCTGTTTTGGCAAACTGCGACCATATTTGTTTGGTGTGAAAGAAATATTTCTGTTTGGAGCAGCCACTTCTGAAGTGCAGCTGTGTAAGCTGGCCTGTTCCTCTAGATTGATCACAGTATCTCTCAGGCATGAGTTTTTTGAGATTATCTGAAATTCAAAATGCCATTTTTCCTTTCTTCAGGTACCTTTGTCTAATTGATTATTATGAATCTCAAATTAGTCAGATTAAAAAGGAGCTGAGGTAGGTCTTATCTAATGCCTTATGGTACTACTGTTCAAAATTTATTTTCCCCTTTACTGTTCTTAAACCATATAGGGGTAAATATTTTGTGCTCCAGATCTCTCTAGAATATAAGAAACAGCAAAAGGTTGTAATAGTCATAGAAGTTTGGATTTATCAAAGGAATGATTGTCAGTCCAGGCTAAGCAGCTCCTCAGTCAGGAGGCCAGGACAGCTGGGAAGTTTGGGATATTCAGACACTGGAACTTCAAGTCCTTTTCTTCTTTTTTTTTTCTTTTTTTTTCTTTTTTCCCTTCCTCTTTTGCCAGAATTACTGCATTAGCTGTGCTCAGTCAAATGATCTACTAAACTAAAGGAATACTGGGTTTTCAGCTCTATCACTGTGCAAAGCAACAAGCAGATACCTGACACATTCCTATAGTTTGAGATTATTATCTTGAAAACTGAAATGGGATTTGCTTGTACTGGAGTTTCTCTTGAGGATAAGTGCACTTAATTAGCATGTGAAGCAGCTTTCCCAGAAATTAGAGCAGTGGATCTTAGGGCAGAATTTCTATTCTATTTACTTTGTAATTTATGGAAACATTATTATCATACATCACTGCTAACTAAACCAACTTAGATTTTTGAGTTAATTGAATTGCAGTAAGCTCAGACAAATGTTTTTTTTTCCCCAATAGACAGTATAAAAAAGATGAAGACCAGGTACAGAGAGAAGGAAAAAACAGAGAAGAATTCTTAAATCTAGATGCTACTCCTAATTACAGAGCACTGCTCACGGTATGGAACTGCCAAATCTAAATCCGTGCAGATCTCTAAATGGTAACCCTTCAAGAGCCACCTAGAAACATAA